AATAAATCAAAGTTTAAAAAATATTAAAATATAGCCAAAATTGTCTGTTTGTTTGCAATCCAAGAGATAATAATGATATAATAAAAAAAAAGTTGATAAAAAAGGTAATATCTTATTAAAAATTATATAATTGATTACACTATTTAATTTTGAAGCATTGGGTTTATCTGCAAATTTTTATTTAATATATCTAGTATATTATTTTTAACAAAATAGTTAATTAATAATTATTGTTCAAATTCATAATTAAAAATATATTTGTATATATTTGTATAATTTATGTAAAACCAATCAGATCGCCGGATCTTGCATAACTAAAAGCGAAGAAATAACCAATAACTCAAAATTTTATTATGAAACTATGCTTCGACTTCTAAGCAAAAGTTTTTAACATTAAATTTTACATGTAAACAATCTCTCTCACCCTAACCTCTAACCTTAATTTTAATAAAACTTTTATAATACCGGGTGATATCACCACTATACATGTTGGAAAAATCCCAAACTATTATACAGTAGTTTGGGTTTGGCACACCCAAATTCCAAATTTCTCAATAGCGAATATTTGAACATATGACAAGTATGTGTTTGAATATATAAATTTTCCTTCTAATATCCGAAGATTTCTATGTATCGAAGGCATTTGATCAGTTTTTGTACTTTGTTATATTGAGCTTTAACTGTATTTTAAAAACTTATTAATAATCTTTATTTAAACAAATTAAATATATATTTATAGCTATATATAATATATCTGCCAAATTTTAAGATTGCTTTTTTTTGATTTAATCTTTTAAAAATAGCAATTGTATTTGCAAGTATAATCACCACGGGGTGAAAATTAGTAACAATCTATAAAGTAATTCAAAAAGTTAACATATTTTACACATAATCAATATTTCAAAAATTAAAACAAAATTTGTATTTTTAATTTTTTTAATAATTCAAAAATTAAAAAAATTTTTAAACTTTTAATCAATATTTCAAGAGTTTTCAAAAACTTTACATTTCTAGTTTTTTTTAAAGCGCAGCATAATGCTTAGTAATATGAAAGTTACATTTTTGATCATCAATATATTACGTATTTAATTACACTTTTGTTTAGCGAGTAATATTTGTGTATAGGTAAGAACATTGATTGAGAAATTTATTTCGCCAAGTCGGGCCTTCGGACTTACAAATGTTGATCAATCTGAAAAGGTTTCAGATCAATCAAAATACCACATATCTCATCTTCCCAAGGCTGTGCATAACATCTCAAAATAATTACGCATGCGTGTACATACATAAATTAGGACAACATGCGAATACATACATAAATTAGGACAACATGCGAATACATACATAAATTAGGACAACATGCGAATACATTTGACGCAGTGCATAATTATTTAGTAACACAAAGCAAGTTAAGGGCCGAATAAATCCAAAGGGTTACATATTTGGGGAAGTAAATAAGTTTCAAAAATTAACGCATAAAAATATCATTACATACGTATGCGAAAGCCATTTGACAATAATAAATCAAAATTCTAAATTTAATTCGTTTGTCTTTTTTTTTTACATCCATTGGGGATTACATCAATTGGGGTGAGAGCAGTACAAATTCATGAACGGTTTAGTCCTAATGGCTACAAGTAAATATGCTTATCAAGAAATAACGCACGCGATCTTATTATAGTAATTGGACGCGTTCAATGGGGGAGTACATTACGTCAAGCGAAAATCAGAGAACTTATCCAAAGAATTAGATCGGAGTACATATTTGGTGATTACATACGTACGTACGTAATTTTTTTTTCATGTTGAGCATTTTTGCTCAGAGATGGAGTTAAAAGAATGAAATTTAGTATTAGTTAGGATTGTTTCATTTTTTTGTAATTTTTTAGTTTGACTTAAGGGTATACGTACGTACGCTCAATGGTCAATGATTCAGATAAGGAAATGTAAAATCATCTACATTCAACCTGTTTAAGGTACGGTATGATATGGATCTACGAGGGGCGTCAACATAAACAGAGAAGATACAATCACATCATTCTTCTACTTAATTGCACCACCAGCAGTTCAAGAAAAAAAAAAATAATGACGCAGCCAGGGCGGCCCCCCCC